GCCCACTTTGACCCCCGGGACCCCTCCCCAATTGACCCCGGGACCCCTCCCCAATTCGGGCCCCGCCGGCTCCTCTTTGTCTCGGCTCCCGGGCCCGTGTTTGGGGTTTGGGGCTTTTTTCCATATTTTGGGTTTTTCCCCCATTATTTGGGTTTTTTTTTTTCCTCTTATTTTGGGGGTTTTTTTTCCTCTTATTTTGGATTTTTTCCCTACTTTGGGGGCTTTTCCCCCATCCTTTGGGGTCTTTTCCCCCCATTCTTTTGGGGGTTTTTCCTATTCTTTGGGGTTTTTCCCATTCTTTTGGGGGTTTTTCCCGTTCTTTGGGGTCTTTCCCCCCATCTTTTGGGATTTTCCCGATTCTTTGGGGGTTTTTCCCGTTTTTTGGGTTTTGCCCCCCTCGTTTAGGGTCTTTCCCCCATTCTTTGGGATTTTATCCATCCTTTGGGGTCTTTTCCCAATTCTTTGGAATTTCCCCCATCCTTTTGGGGTTTTTTCCCATTCTTTGGGGTTTTTTTCATTTTTTTGGGGTTTTCCTCCCCATCTTAGGGTCTTTCCCCCATTCTTTGGGATTTTATCCATCCTTTGGGGTCTTTTCCCAATTCTTTGGAATTTCCCCCATCCTTTTGGGGTTTTTTCCCATTCTTTGGGGTTTTTTTCATTTTTTTGGGGTTTTCCTCCCCATTCTTTTGGGTTTTTTCCCATTCTTTGGGGTTTTTCCCGTTTTTTTGGGGTTTTCCTCCCCATCCTTTTGGGGTTTTTCCCCGTTCTTTGGGTTTTTTCCCGGTTTTTTTGGGGGGTTTTTCCCCATTATTTTGGGTTTTTTTCCCATTTTTTGGGTTTTCCCCCCATCCTTTCGGGATTTCCCTCCTCTCTTTGTGCTCAGCCTCCCCCCGTCCTCATTAACCCCCGGCATTAATTAACCCCTCCATACCGGGGGGGAAACTGAGGCACGGCGGCTCCCGGTACCGGCCCCGGCTCCCGGTCCCACCCCCTTCCCTGGCCCCAAATCCCCGTTTCCGACGGGAATTCCGCCCGCTCGCCCCCCCCACCCGCTGTAATTAGCGGTTAATTAGGTTAATTGTGCCGGGCGCTCCCCTCACTTCCCTCTCTCCTCCCGCCCCCTCCCCGTTTCCCCCTCCCCATTCCCGGTGTTTCCCCTCCCCCCATTCCCGTTATTTCTTCTCCCATCCCCATTTTCCCCCTCCCCAATTCCCGTATTTCCCCCCAATTCCCATATTTCCCCCCCAATCCCATTTTTCCCCTCCCAATCCCCCACATTTTCTCCTCAAAATCCCTTTTTTTCCTCCCAATCCCATTTTTCCCCCCA